ACACGAAATATATAATGTCAGTAGCTGATGATATATTTGAGAGTATTTGTTGCATTGCGGGGTTTTGCAAAGCTTCTAACCGTCATATGCACATTTACACCTCTCCATCACAATCCAACATGATATGAGTATAACAAGTCTCCAGTTAAAAGCATAAATAGGGTGAGGCCCCGAAAGTCCGCATTATCAGTGCTTCAAGGAAGGTCATTCTATCTCACCACACCCAAGGGCAGAGTGGGCCCACATTCGATTCTATCACACTGAGGCGACTTGAAATCAACGATATCTCACAAAGTAATTACTTATAAACTCAAAGTAAGGCTCACTTATTGACCCAAAATGCATGAAATACCAACAACAACGTAAAACAATAGCAAACCACACGAACACTTGCCCTGCGAAACTAGGCCATAGATTCATGAGGGAATTCCTTTTATGGAACAGTTCCGAGCGTATCTAAGACGCCATTGCTTGAGATTTTTTACCTTTGACGTCATAGATAGGGGTCATATGCAAATGGCTTGGCTACGTCTGACGAAGTTTTACAACGCAGTGTTCCACGGCAATATTATCACCTCGTAATTATGGGACATAGAAGAAATTCGAGAATGTTGCGTTAATTTAACGCGTGTGAAGAGTCTTCATGTTTGCAATTTTACGTTCTGATTAAAGAGAATTTACCTCATCTTCAAGAATATGGACAGATGCTGCATTTTTTTAAATTTACATCTGAAGAAAAACTTGTCCGTAATAAGGATTTTCAGGAAGAAGAGGTACATGAACACTTAAGTTCACATGGATTTGAACAACTATCCTAAATATGATTGAGATGTCTTGCCTTACAACAAGTAACAACTACGACAGAAGAAGACCTTTAACAAAGGGATGTATAAAATAAATAAATTGAATGATGTTATACATAAACTGACTGAATTTGAAAATACATACTCAGACATTCAGGTATCCACCTCAGAATACAGTTGAATTTACTGTTTGGAAACTTTTAACCAAATACCTGTTTGGATTTCTTGAAAAGTATGACAAACTGGGTGCATGTTTTTGTAACAAGTTGTGTCAGGTCATTTAAATAGACTGGGCCGTGTTGCCGAGGGTTTGCCTGCCCAGGAAGAAAGAAAGAAAACATTGTTAGTTTTTTTAACAGACAATGCCATTTAGAAAGTGGTCAAATGTGACGAATGTTATATTTGGGATAACACTTTCTTAGTAAATTACACATTCTAATACTTGTCGGTTGAGTCCCACACTGCCAAAGCGAGGCACATAAACCGCCAGCAGTCAGTGATCTAACCCACTCAGCCACCGAGGCAACAACAAAAAAGAAAGTCCGACAACTAGTAGTCTAGATAACGTACTTTGTGTACCCCTCTGAAAAGTGTAAATTGGCACGGCTCCCATGACAAAAAGCTGTGAACACAATGCCATTTAGAAAGTAGTCAAATGTTACATCAGCAATTTGATTATTTGTGATCTGTTGATTATCTAACGAATCAATTTGCCCATTGTGATGGTCAGATAATTAGAAATCGTCTACATGAAGCTCATCTCCAGGCTCGACGGCCATGTTTTGTGCCGCCCCTAACAAATCGTCATTTTTGCCACATGATTGCACCACTATGACTGAGTGAACCCCACTCAGTATTGAGCAAGGATGGACACTAGACAATACTATTGGGATGTCATACTTACACCCTTTGTTGTCCCGATTGTAAGGCATGTGGCACGAATCGCCAATACTCACCTCCAGCAGCCCAACATTCATAGAATGCCATGGACGACAATGAGCACAGTCCTTTCTCACAATACACACGTCTGGGTCATGATGGGGAGTGTGCGGGCGCCGACCACACTGTCTGAACTTGGCCAGGCGCTTCACAAGGAGAGGGACAGACTCCCTCAAGTCGCCACTGGGAGAGTGAGTGTGAGTGTGTATGGTTTTACGCCGCTTTTAGCAATATTCCAGCAATATCACGGCGGGGGACACCAGGCTCGAACCCGGGTCTTCGGCGTGACGAGCGAACGCTTTAACCACTAGGCTACCCGAGGGACTCGCCATTGGGAGACTCATACGCAGTGTGCATCATCAAGTGAATGAATGTGTGACAAATGGTGGAGATATTACACACTACTGATCCAAAAACGTCAACTTTCCCATCTTACCCCTTTCATCCTTCAAGAATGTCATAACATCTACTATTGTACTTCAATGCCAGTGTAATGTGTTCCCAGTTCGTTAATTATTGTCAAACGAATTTAATTAGAATCTAATTTCTCTCACAGTTTTGAAATTTTAAGCTATTTTCGAGTACCCCCTACTTTGTTAAAAGAGTATAAATGTGATCACACTCAGCATATAAGTAATGATGTCACAAAAACAGGACTAATATTTCAAAACATGGTCCGTTTTCATGACTGGTTGGATGTAGATTTACAAAACATCAAAATCGTACATAAAATCCTTCAGTCATAACTGCTAGCTTCTTCCCAGCTCACAACTGATTCTGATTTAATGGATTGTAATCTTGAGTTAAGTCGCATTGTCAATGGTTCAAAAAGCGAGCTTACTCTGCCTGCCGAATCGAAACTGCAATTATTTCTCTTAGGCTTGCTTCATGTCTGAGTTCCATGATATCGTAGGACTCTGGTTTGCGGCAATGGTTAAAAAAAGCGAGCTTACTCTGCCTGCCCAATCGAAACTGCAATTTTTTCTCTTAGGCTTGCTTCATGTCTGAGTTCAATGACATCGTTGTTCTCTAGGTTGCTCCATGTCTTAGTTCCCTTATATCATTGAAAGTAGGCTTGTCTCGTGTCCAAGATTCAAGAATTCATTGCTGTCCTAGGCTCCATCATGTATGTGATCCCTGATAGCATTGGTCTTAGGCCTCTTCATATCTGAGTTCCCTCGTGTCCGAGTTCCTTGATACTTCTGTGGTCCTTGATATGAATGGGTTTCATGAAACTAATCCGCAGGTCAACAGGAGTGTTAGGATTGTCACCTGATCGAAGATTTGATACACTGATCTGTTTTCTACTTCTTTTCATTAAAGGGCCGAACGTATATACTAGTACCAACAGACTGTGAACTAAAACAACACTAACACAATGATAGCTGCAAGGAAACCATTCTCATGCTTGGCCATCAAACATACGGGCAATTAGCTTAAATAATATTAAAATAAGGAAGGAATCTCACACTGAAAAAACATGGACAGGGGATTTAATGTGCAAAGTTATTTTATTTATCTCTGTCTACTCACAGTTCCTGCTCAAAACGTCATTTGAAACAAACGAAGCGTTTTCAGGTAAGGCTTTTATATACGTAGGTTACATTAATTAAAATAACACGGAACATAAATCCAGCGCATAATTTTTTAGGAAAGGGTATGGGCACTCGCATTTTTAAAATGCGCATTTATGTCTAAATTCAAGAGCTCGCATTATTTTTATGTCGCATTAAATTCCTGTTTTACAGTATTTGTCTTTGGCTAGCCTCATGTCAGAGATCCATTAAAGTTCAGACATTATTGCGTTCCTGTTTATATAACTGCTGACGACTTTAAACATTAGAATGGTGTGCTATTTTTGGAAGAGAATTATGTTTGCCTCTTGAATTATTGAATTACTGAAAATAACCTTTATGCTTTGTAACTATTTTTGTAAAACTGTGTTTTTGATGGTTTTTGATGTTGTTACTGTTCAAACTTCAGTGCGCAGGTAAAGCGTGTTTGTTTCAACTTCAACGCCGAACTCGGCAATATTCCAGCAACATGACAGCGGTCTGTTAATAAGAACCTCCACGAGTTTGACCACCCAATCCAGTTAGTTGCCTCTTCTGACAAGAATAGGTTTCTGAGAGCCCTTATTCTTAACCGGAATCCCCACAGATTCAGAACTGTTGCGAATGGGGCAGCATCTCAAATTGATATATGCAACAGATTCGTTCTCATAGACCCCTGGGGTTAACGTGTGTAATGGGATGTCTTTCAAGCGATGATTTCCACAATATAACAGTATAGCAAAACATGGTCTAGTGCTGTGGATGCGTCACCAAACTCGATCAAGTGCTGTGGATGCATCACCAAACTCGATTTTATGCTCTGGAAGCATCACTATTCACGACCTAATGTATGACACCTGGTGTCATCACTGATTTTCAGTGATTTGTTCCTATATTCTCACCGCTATTTTGTCCTTTGCGCTCAAAGAAATCTGTTTCGGCAAATAATCAAGACTGATTATACTCTAGCTTTGACCTATTAAATACACATACTCTTTTTTCTTCAATACAACTCCCAAGAACATTATTACGTTTTTTGCTTTGGCATGACATGCTGAAGTGAGCAGTATTCAATTGATACATTATGTATGTCTGTATGACGTGAATCTGGCTAGCGAACCAGTGATATATGATTTGATCATACGCCGCCTTGGTATGACAGTGAAGTCACAGAGGCTGACCATACCATTTCAGTTCGGAGGATGAGCATGAGGTACCGAGGCCTATTTTAACATTGTGCCCACGCCAGGGAAATACGATTACTGTATCATGTAGTACACCTGTTATTAAATGAGAAGTAATATAAAACAAATATTTTTATTTATTTTTTTATAAACGACTTACGACTTACAGTATAAGAAAAAATATCAATGTCCGTAATTTACTACTTCTTCTGATACAATATTGACGTTTGTCACAATCTGCCCTTATAATTAGTAGATAAGCATCCATACATTTCGCCTGCCTCCAACGAACTAAACGAAGTTGAACAGCTGAAACACTGTGTATGCTGCTATAACCATTATGCACTTATTTGCTATCCACTTAAATGAGGGAGCAAAGAGTTCGAGAAGCAATTGACTTGAGTGTGCAGTGAAGGCCTGTTTTCTTCACACTTACGAGAGAATAACTAACGTTTGACCACCAACGCTATAGGATCTAGGTACGTGTGGTTCTTTAGATACTTAAGCAAAAACGCAATAGCAGGAATGCAGAAACGTTTATTGTAGAGACATTTAACCAATAATAACTGGATGACCACTGTCGGTAGACAGGACAAAGTTCTTGAAGTAGGAGTAACAATCACGTGTTGGGGCCCACGAACTGTCACCACCACCGAAAAAGGTTGAGAAGAAGATGCCATCAATATTGATTGACTTTGCCCGGATGTTGAGATGGTCGATGTGGTACACCAGCTTCCCATCATGCCATACTTTAATGGAGCCATCTGTCTTCCCGGGAGTGTTCAGGTGGACCGACTGAGCTATGTTCTGCCATGCACCGCGCTTAAATCGCCAGTTCCCTCTTCCCATTGAATAACCTTTGACAGAGTTACAAACAGCATGGTCGCAGTACCCCGACACCTGGTGGTGGGAGTCAGGGATATAGCCATACACCTCTCCATCGCCATCCGCCCTCCACATGAACCTGGTCGAGAAGCAGTTGTCCGAGTGCCTTCCGCCGGAGCAGTTGGTCCATCCGCCAAACAGTCCCGGTAATTTTCCTCCGCGTCTGAAGTCAAAGTTCTTGTCAAAGTAGAGGTCGTAGCTGAAGGTCATAACTGTTCGAGAACTTGTTGGTGTTGCAAAGAACTGGACACCTTCATTGGGGCCATGGCTACTGTAGCGGCCCTTCTGGTACCAGACTTTCAAGACGTGGTTGCTTCCACCGGCAGGGTCCGTGACGACAGATCCAGATCCATGGTCGTAGTCGTTGGAAGTAAGCGCATGCATACCATTGCGGTAGTTCTTTGGGTCGAATTCCTTATGCGTCCACAGAGTACCACCTGAATGATAAGATGGGATGATGTAAACGTCTAGTACACATACCTGTTCACATTGTCGAGACACGCTATTGTCTTGCTTGAATGTTCCTCATCTACTTAATGTTCCATTCATATGATAAAATATATTCCTAATAATGCAATAATAATATTTCAATGAATACATGTACTAAACTGTTCTATGATACGGAGCAGTGGGTCGGACTAATAAACATATATTATTTGTTCATCAAACAGAAACTGTGTTCGACTCCCGACTTGGATATAATGTATAATTTTTCTACACCTTGTAAAACCTTACTCACTCACTCACAGCCTGTTATGCTATTTATGTTAATGAGCGCGGTCGGGTAGCCTAGTGGTTCAAGTGTTCGCTCGTCACGCCAAAGACCTTGGTTCGATTCCCGACATGGGTACAATGTGTGAAGCCGATTTTTGGTGTCCCCCGCCGTGATATTGCTGGACTATTGTTAAAAGCGGCGTAAATCCATACTCACTGACTCACTCATTTATGTTCATGCTTATAGTATTGTGTTGACGCCCTACTCGCACATTCCTTATATTGTCAAATATATACAAAGGGCTGACGTACCATCGACTAGTGCAAAACCACACAGGAGAAGTGTCACTGCCTGCATGATGATCAGTGGCTAAAGGAATGAAAGTACAAATACATGATATTATGACAAAATAGAACTGCCATTGATATTGTGCGCTTTGAAAACCAAGCATTACCACAATACCACAATCAGATGAAAACAGTAAGCATATAGATCTGATGAGTAGTAGAGGTGTAACGATACGGGAGGGTCGCGATACGATACGTATCGCGATACAGGGGTCGCGATATGATACGTATCACGATACATTGTTTACTGGTACAAGCTAAGCCAAGTTGATGTCTTTCTGCTCTCTAAAAGATGTGACAAGTACAGTTGAAGAAGATTTAATGTGTTTATTTACTGTTATAGCAAATTGTCAGCAACACAATATGTTTTACTGAAACAACAAACTGGCTTTGAAACTGTTAAACGTATTTCATGTATTTTCTTGAGTATAGTGCGCACCAATGTATAATGCGCACCCCCCCCCCCCCCCCCCCCTCTAGCGGGTACAATATTTTTGAAAAAATTTAAATTTGAAAATTATGCGCAGAAAATAATTACACTGTACTCTTCAGCGAAGTGCGCAAACGAACGGGTGATGAGAAACTTGGTCAGTACAAATTCGAAATTTGAGATGTTGATTTACCGTTTAAATTGTATTTTTTGTTCAGCTAGGCATGGTTTTATATCCAGGGATTACGATTACCTTGTGTATTTTCTCGTAAACTAAGTCGGACACAGCAATCAGCTGTACACACGTTTTCTTGGAATCTACTGGTGATTCGGTCAAGACACACCCAGTGATATAACTTTACAGGATTTTAATGCAAGGATCGGCAAAAGTTGTATCTGAAACTTTTTTTATCAGGAATAATATATTCCAATATCTTGTTAATTTAGATGCAGCTTTTACTAAACATATTTAAAATAATAATAACCCTAAGCGAAACAGCTGATCGCTATTGTCGGGTATTATTTTTTACATGCAACCAGTCACCGTCAAGGCTCCCGTGCACGTGATCGCTTGATCGCGAGAATTACGTGTTGACATAGAATCGTCAAACAAAAACAAATATGACTTTTAACGAATCAAAGTATGGCATTTAGGATATATGTATCCATTCTCTGTCAACTTAAGTTCGTTTCAAGGCGTCAATGGCGGTAATCTGACCGTGGTTGCTGTTAATAACGGTGAGTTGTGCGATCTTCCGATCGCTTCACACACGATTTCGCCGAAATTAATTAAAACAATATTAAAAGGAATTTTGAATAAAATTAATGAAATAAGTTACAAACAAAAGTCCAGATATACAAAGAACACTTGTTATAGCCAGACAGTGTAATAACATGAATAATTTGCGAACTTCAGTATGGATTTGTTGACATGGTATTTCCGGTGTTACGTGCTCACGGTAATGTCTTTCCATGGGGGAAAAAACATCAAAACTCATTAATTCGTGTATAATGCGCACCCCCTTCTACACAGCTGTGTTTTTTGGAAAAAAGTGCGCACTATACTCAAGAAAATACGGTAAGTAAATCTGTGTTATGAAAATATCGTATGTATCGCGATACATGCTTTCCAAATCGATGCATCGTATCGTGGGCTGTGCATCGGGATACAATACTGTATCGCCGTATCGTTACACCACTAATGAGTAGTATAGATCTGTAATATGTAGGTACTTCATTGATTGCTGCACGGGAATTTACGTCAGTGTTTCTAAATGAAAAGTATGTTTAAATCAGGATTGGTTTGGTTGGTTTGTTGTTTAACGCCGCACTCAGCAATATTCCAGCTATATGAAGGCGGTCTGTAAATAATCGAGTCTGGACCAGACAATCCAGTGATTGATATCATGAGCATCGAACCACGCAATTGGGATCGATGACATGTATCAACCAAGTCAGCGAGCCTGACCACCCGATCCCGTTTAAATCAGGATAAAATTGTAAGACGTGTACGTCCGTAAATGCTCTTTGCGAGAATATCTTGATTCATCATTCAAATGTAAACACATCGTCGCTGTGCCCAGTCATCTGACACACAAGTGTACTCATGTGCAGTGTTAGCTGCGCAATGTGCATCACAATGCTGTTGTTCTGAATGGATTGTAGGGAAAGGGTTGACTACTCACCTTAAGCACCGACCAGGACGATAGCTACACGCAAGTCCTCTATGTCATAGGTTCTTGGGACCTTGTGCTTTTATCGTAGTCATGATTTGACCTAGGTTGACCTCAAGTTGCACTTTTGATAGTGTTGGCACAGTTCCAAATTCCTATCAGGGACAATCCTTACATTTCCAAAATCGTGTCATACTTGTGCTTCATAATTCTAACATCAAGGTGATGTTGCTTAAAGAATCCAAATAATTTTATATTATGAACTGGACACATGTCATGCCTTATGCCAAAGATCATGACGGAATCACTTTTAATCCTTTCAAAAAAATTCCAATCATATGGTATTGATAGAAGTGTGGGTTATGGTGATCCGTCCTGTAAGCAATATTTGACATGCACATATACTAGGAACAATATTTAAGAGAACCCCCAATGATATTTAAATAAATGACGTTGTGGAATTCATTCTTCGTAGGAAATGCAATATCTGGTCCCTGCCCCGTACGCATCGATGCAGGCACTGCATCTACAGAGCATACTGGAAACGAAATGCTGAGGTCGGTTGCGAACCCTTCGGTCCTGAATATTCCAAACGTGTTCCATTCGTGACCCGACTAGAGACTTGTCAGACCAGGGCAATGTTGAAACACATTGGTGCCTCAGAAAGTCGATTGCAACACGATCTCTGTTAGGACGTGCGTTGTCCTCCTTGAACTCAAAGTTCTGACGCGCTGGGTAAATGAGATGACCACCAGACGAAACATGTGATCCACAAAAGGTTGACCGGTCATATTCCCTTGCACGTAAATAAGATCCGCCCTGTAGTCGTATGTGATGCAAGCGGAGACCATGATGCTGACCCTTGCACCTATCCTGATCATTGACAGCTGACGGATAGTACTTCTCTCCAAGCAATCTTTAAACACCATCTACCATCTGTAAAGCGTTAACACAAACTTAATGTCCCTCAGTTCCTGTTCCTTGAGGCAATGGTGCGTACATATCGATGCTGCCTGGGAGTTCTCCTTCGGGACCTTCCGTGACACATTCTATTCTTAACCCCACCTGTTTGCCCATAATGTTTCATCAGTCGGGATTTCACACTTTTTAATTTTTTCAAAGCGTGTTGAAACGGCATCCTGTGATTGGCCAGCTTGAATCATGCCTAAGGCCCCGTATATTTTCATTTTCTGCCATGACACTTTTCAAGGCATTTTCCTTCGTTGTACCCAATCAAGGAACCATGTGCTTGTGACGTTTATTGGCATATGCCAGTAACCAGGATGTGTCACCGTTGACGGCATGTTTTACATTTTCAGTGTGCAAACTTTGAGCGAGTTTTGCTATCAACGTTCAGTATATGTGTCCAGTGCAACAAAGATGGTCATTTCATTCTTATATCTGAAATTATAGGGTCCCCTTAAATATTGTTCCTTTAACAATTGTCCTCAAGAGAGAAGGTTCAGTGCATAAACAAAAATGGAAACCGAGCCAACAATATCTGCAGATTGTTTATGGCAGATACACCTGCTGGCGCTCCCATTCTTTCACAAACTATTTCTACTCAGGTCGCAATAAGGATGCACGATCTGCTGGAATCGTGACATGTCCAGGTGCAAAAAAGAAACAGTCCGCTTATAGATGAGAATTGTATTTATCACAGACGCCATTGCTTGAGCTGGTGACCTTTGACGTCATATATAGGGGCTATGCTTATCGCTTATCAACGTCTGCCGACTTTTTACTGCGGAGAGTTCCATGACAATACTATCACCTCGTAGTTATGGGACATGGAAGAAATTGGAGAATGTTGCGTTAATTTAACGTGTGTGAAGAGTTTTCACGTTTGCTATTCTGCTATTCTGAGTATCTGCAAGTTTACATCTGAAAAAAAAACTTTACATCTGAAAAAAACTTGTTCCCTATTGAGGATTTTCAGGAAGAAGAGGTAAATGAACAATAATTTTCACATGGATTTGAACCACGCTATCCTGAAGATGATTCAGATGTCTTGAGTTAGAACAAGTATCAACAACTATAGAAGTAGACCTGTAACAACGTGTGTGGGGGGTAGGGGGTGGGGGGTGGGGGGAGGATAACAGAAATAATTTGAATGCTGTGTTATACATGAACTGACTGAACTTGAAATTCTATATCCAGACATTTAGGGATCCACCTTTGAACAAAATTGAATTCACTATGAGAGCACTTTTAACCAAATATCTGTGCGGATTTCTTGAAAGGTATGATGAACTTGGTGCTTGTGTTTGTGTTTTTGTATTTATGATGAAGTAGTTATGATATGTTAGGTCATTTAAATGAACTGCGCCGTGTTTGCCTGCCAAGGAAGAAAGAATAAAACAGTTCTTATTTGATGGTCAAAAAAGAAACAATGCCACATAACCCTATTGCCATATTTCTTTGCACTAATATTGTGAACAATCTTGCTTCCAATTGGATCCATGTATAAACACTGCAATCTTTACAAGATGTAACATTGCATGATGCCTCAGTTAAACGAATCTTAGGGAACAGCTACATGATTAAGTCTTTGAAAGGCATTTAGAAGTTATGGATGTCAGCTTGTTTATTATGAGGAACAGCGTTTCAGGGTATATATATACTTACCCTTCATCAGGCGAATGAATGCTGCGAGACAGAGATCATATATACATGTGCATATACATGCTCTCTGTCTCATAGCATTCATTCACCAATTTACAGCTTTATTCAAGTATAATAAAAATATCAATGTCCGTAATTTACTACTTCTTCTGATACAATATTGACCCTTATAATTAGAGATAAGCATCCATATTGTTCTCCTCCCTCCAGCCAACTAAATGAAGTCGGAGAGCTGAAATAATGTGTATGCTGCTATAACCATTATGCATTTATTTACTAAACACTAAGATGAGGGAGCAAAGAGTTCGAGAAGCATTTGACTTGAGTCACACCACCTGAATGATAAGATGGGGCGTGTAAACGTCAAGTACACATACCTCTTCACATTGTCAAAACACGCGATTGTCTTCCACCGTGAGATTGCTTGAATGTTGCTCATCTACTTAATTTTCCATTCATATGGTAAAATGTATTCCTAATAATGTAATAATGGAGAAGTGGTCGGACTAATAAACATATATTATTTGTTCATTAAACAGTAAATGTGTTCGACTCCCGACTTGGATACAATGTATACTTTTTTCTCTTGATGCCGCCATGTTCCCTGCACCTTGTAAAACCTTACTCACTCACAGCCTGTTATGCTATTTATGTTAATGGGGGCGGTCGGGTAGCCTAGTGGTTACAGTGTTCGCTCGTCACGCCGAAGTTCGCTCGATTCCCGACATGGGTACAATGTGTGAAGACCATTTCTGGTGTCCCCCGCCGTGATATTGCTGGAATGTTGCTAAAAGCGGCGTAAAATCATATTCCCTCACTCATTCATTTATGTTAATGCTTATGATATCGTGTTGACGCCCAACTCTCACATTCCTTATATTGGTCTGGAAAAGAGCGAATAAGTGAATATTGTTTTGGGCGCTTTTAGCAATAGTCCAGAAATATCTCTAAGGGAAACCTTCAAAAATGGTCTTGACACATTGTAACCCTGGGTGGAACCGAAGCAAGTTTCAAAACACGCGTTCTACTTTGTTTCAGTCAAGGATGGTGTGATAGTTTAGTGCTATATCATCTCCAAAGTAATCCATATACACCATAACAGCGTCCGGGGCAAATGATTCTGGCTTTCGAGTGAACAATCCATTCTTGACCATCTTCTTTGAAAGGCATTTAGATGTTGGAGTACTAAGTAAGGATAAGATATATGGATGGACATAATGATCATCACTTGCTTGATAACGGTGTTAGAACCTACACCGAAACGTCTCTCCTAATTGTTATAAAGAAGTTGTTTATCCATAAATCGTATCCTTACTTTCATTCCTGACCAGTCCTAACCAACTATACACGCTATCAGGACAAGATCACATGCAGTCGTATTGGTCGGTGTCCTTGGTGGATATTGGCATGAGCCACTAGGAAACGTTTACTGCATGTGTACAGCAACAAGGTCCTACAATCTACTGCTTTCATGTTACACAAAACCTTAACTATTACTTACCGAGAGCTTTAAGTAATGGGGGACACGGGTGGCCCAGTCGTCTAAGGCGCCGCGATTCGCTATGCAGAGTTGCGTCCCTTGGGCACGCCAGAAACCTTTAATTGTGGGTTCGAATCCCGGTTCGCCCCGATTAGGTTTCTTGGTTTGTCAGCACCATAGCCGTACTCGTGGGTTTCATAGAAGTGGTAAACGTCTCAGACCTGCATCACTTCTGGCTTTCCTCCCACATTAAGCTGACACATTCCTTATATTGATCTGGATAAGAGCGAATAAGTGAATATTGTTTTGGGCGCTTTTAGCAATAGTCCAGAAATATCTCTAAGGGAAACCTTCAGAAACCGCCGCGGTATAACTGGAATACTGTTAAAAGCGGCGTTAAACCCAACTCACTCACTCACTCACTTTAAATATAAGTAATGATTGCAAACACGAGGCAGTCAGGTAGGGCATGGCAACAGGTTGCCTGTCATTCAATAGTGCTTAGTTTGGTTGTGATGTATAGTCCTTGTCGGGTCGATTACACACATGAAGGATATGTCACCTTTATCCATCACTCAACATCGTTCACACCTCCTCCTACACTGCCAATACTGAAGCTTATGAATAGGTCACAGCTGTGGCATCGGCTAGACAAGCTTGGATACCAACATGTCATTCAAATTGGATGGACGGATGATGGGATGGATAGAGGGTACGTCAATGGCTGTCGTACACAAGACACATACATCGTTCGTGGAGAAGACTTTATCAAAATGACAGGATGGTCTCAGCCTACTGCGTGCTTTTGTAATGTCGTACTGTAACCATTTTCTATCAACTATATCATCAATACAGTCAACGCTATGCCACCTGTTGCTGGATTGTTTTAAAAAAGGGTTTACTTTAAATGTTAAGGCTAAGGAACCGACAATGCTCTTTGGGGCCTTAAGACTTTAACAATTTCAATTCAATCCGTGACACAGAAGACACATTGTGTGAT